TGTGTACAATCAAGAGATGAGCATCGCGTAGGAAGAGCAATGGAACGTTAGAAGTACTACACTCTGGAATAGCATTTGTACTAAAAAACCGGACAGCGGATATACCAAATATGTTGTGCCCTCCTAGATGAGTGGCGGGGTATAATCCAGCAAGATCCTTGTAATTATTCGGAGATGCAAGGTACAAACACAATTTTTTTCGCCCACGAGGCATTCACGAAAGCATTCATGATACAAGGCATGCGTCACAGCAACAACGTGTGTCATGTCACAACTGCCAAATAAGATATCCAAGCGTGAGGCCGCAGCAGTTAGGGAGGATGGTGGTCGTATCTCATTACCCTGAACACAGAACCTCTTCCTTGTTAAGCTGGTAGCGTGGACCTTTTTCTGCAACTTTTCCTTGACAGGTCCGCCGTCCATGAGTTCTTCCAAAGCGTTTCCACTGCCTCATTGTTTTTGTAGCCTAGTATCTTGAGGCAGCCTTCCGATTGGCATGTCTCTAGTTCAAGTTTCGCTTGTTCGCCCATTGGTATTTTCAAGATGAACTCACTAGCATATTCTCCCCTACTTTCTGCATTCTCGCTGTCGCTTGCAGGATCTTGTATTTTGTCCAACGGCGCTTGCACATGCTTCCTTTCTAATCTTTCAATCTTGACCTCCAGTCTTGGAACAGTCTTCAGGAGAGCCTCATTTACAATTTCCACCGATTTCTTTCCGAATCTAAAGAGGGAAGTGATACTATCGGTGTTGTCTTCCATTCTCAATGTCCTGAGTGTGGCAGCCCTTGCCTGACGGGTTGATACACATATATTTTATATTGATATCAATGCACCTTTATGTCGAGACATTTTGTGTAGTCACGTGCTACAAGATCCATTAATTATTTACCCATGTGCAGCTAATACATATATGATGAGAATTAACAACATAAGAGTTTAGTCCCCATAATCAAGATTGGTTTGATGAAGATGTAACGGATCAGTACTTCTGTACTGAAGTTACACGATACGTTTACCAACACGTTTATTACCTGTAACTAAATTAAGCGAAACAACAACAGGAAATAGCTTTTGTAATAGCCAAAGTAGACCTGGAAGTAAATAGAAGTATATCCTACCTTACCTGGACGGGTAAGCCTTGCAGAGGCGGATGACATCGACTACCCGACGAAACTTTCGGACTAGTGAAAGATGTAAAGAAATTGAACCTCAATGCTCCACCGAGCATTTATACCACAACTTTTCACACGTCATCGCAGCTCGAAGGCTCACCCATCCTTACATGTTTTCACATGCCCTGTACATGTTTTCTTGGAACTTGAGGATTTGCTCCTTTCTCGTTTTAACACAACATCAAAAACATAAGGTGAAGCATTACAGTGAGAGATCAAAGCGCTCCAATCCAACTCTCTCTACACCTGAGAATCGGGTTTTTGCAAGAATTGCTGAATTTCATTCACAGCTGTACAAAAGGAAATAATAACAATTCTCGGAACCTAAAATTTGTATCAATCAATCCAATCACTTTCTGAAAATTGTATCACACTTAGCACTAATCACCTCAGTAGGTAACACTTGAAACAATCTAATTAGCAGGTATAGAACGATGTTTGAAAGTCGGGCATCTTCTCCATTTGGATCTTAGCGCAACGGAAATTCAATCCACCTGCACGCCGTTTAGTAGGCATGAAGACCCAACATTCCCGTGGTCTCAGCCTAACCTCCATACGAAGTACGTACTCGAAAGCATAAAACACGATCAGAAACAACTCTTCCCAACTCCCACAAATGTGATAGACCTAGTTTTCTCAAGCGTTCATTATAGCTCGGCAAGTCCCGCCACTCTAATCCTTTGAACTTTCTCAGGAAAATAACTCTGGTAAATTTGCGCTGAAGCGCACCAATTTCTCTGCTATGTTTTCTCAGGGTTGGGCTCCATATTTGAGAGCCATACTCTAAACGGGGCGAAACATAAGTTTTATACAGTCTGGTCAATATTCTAAAATTGTCACTGAAGACGGAAAATAGTAAACAGAAAAGTACATGCTTTGCTGACGGTATGACAAATATGGCTTCGAACTTTCAAGTCTGAATCAAGCAGAATGCCGAGGTTTCTGTTTACTTGATGCCTTTTCAATGTGACGCCACTAATACGATATTCCCTAGCTATACGAAGTTATTACGGTAAAGGCAACTCTCTTCAAAACCGGCCGTCAAATCCCAGTCCTCCGCCCATGAATTCAATCTCACGACCTTTTGACAGCCAAACACATTTACAATACTGCTACTAAATTTTGGATTAGGCTCTGCGACACTCTCAATCGGTCGCAGACCGTCGGCTCGCCATTGCTCATAACGAAATGGTTAGCGCGATTTGAACGTTCTACCAACTGATAGCTCTGTGCTAGATCTACATCTACAAAAGCGATTTTCATTTTGAAAGAGCTCCATCTAGGATTGTGCCATGCGCTCGACTTCCATCCCGAGGAGTACTTCGTATGTGATGCATCGAAACCCCTCATTTGCAGCCTAGTCATTCCACAGAAGGATGGGGTCTCGCCACAGAATACGCCACATACACAGACTCTCCACCACATTGTGATGTTGAGTGAATGTTTTCTTCGAATTTCTACGAACTTTACTTCGTTCTAGAGCGTTAATTGGCTAAACGTATTATGTCTGCGCCCATCATCCCATTCTTCCATTTCAAATGGTAATCTTCTATCATTTTCAAGCAGTAATGGTAGGCCTATTATGTGGCATTCTCCACTTTTAGAGAAGATGTTTTGTTCAAACCTGAAGAATAGCAAGGAATTCTTTCTACCGGTGGAGTACGGTCACTTGTGAAACGATCAGTATTTTTTAGTTTGTCTAGATGAACTTTAAAATCTGAGATGTACATCACTCGATTTCTCACAAAAAATATACTATCAAATGCTGTAGAACACAGGTTGCACCCGAAACTTTGTTTTTTCATCTTTTTCTCCCTATTGTCGATTTCCATCCCTTGGCGAACACGTGCAATTCACCTGTGCCTCGCCGACCCGCTAACCTCAGCATCTCTCTCAATTGGCTATTTCATTGGTTACTACTTAAAGCAACAGTCCCAGCAGGGATTTCACCTTCAATACCAATAGTGGAGGTAAGCAAACTGGCCCGTTTGGCGTTTCTGCTGGGGCCGTATGCTGAATGTTGGGGAGGGGATGGGGTCCCCGAGGTCGACGGACTACTTGAACTCGGTCGGTACGGTAGGAGAGTGATGACGCAAGTGGTGCTAGGTCCAGCAGCTCCGCCAAAAGGGCTGGTTTGCTTACCCCAGGACTAAGCCTTGGAGAGGGACGGACCCGGTCCGTCCTCTCTTTAAGGCTTAGTTCTGAGGTAAGCACCAAATTGTGGCGGTTCTAAGGACCGAGTTGAAGTGGTCCGTCGACCGTCGGGGACTCCATCCCCTCCCCAACATTCAGCATACGGTCCCAGCAGAAACGCCAAAAGGGCTGGTTTGCTTACCTCCTAATAGTGTAGATATAAGCTTCGACGATAGGCTGATGGATGGAATGGATGGATACCCACTTCATTTCGAAATTTGGTCGAAATCTCAAATTTGGCTACAAACTTGTCCCTAGGGGTATTTTAATCTCCGGAACACGAATATCACACTTGTTTGCTGCAAAAACGTCTGCCAAGAGTTCTGTGGGCTCCATGTGCAGTCTTTAGTAAGTACCGCCGAAACTGATTAGAAACTCCTCGCAAAGTCTTTGCACGGGTACTACAGGCAAGCATTGATCGAATAAGGTAGTTGGGAGCCTTTTCAAACCATTTTGCAGCGAAGGCAAGATTACGCCGATCGATCCTCGACGTCTCGCACGTGAACCCGGACTACTACCGCTGCACTACTTTCCTTCATAACTCCGTTCAGAAAATCGTTTGGCAGATTTGGAAAGCAGATTCGAGATCAGCGTCCAAAAACGCATCCACCGGTGTAGGTCTCATTACATACTTCGGCCACTTCTACTGTCATCAGTTCCTGGTTAGACGCCGAACACATGACTATGCACTCTGTTAGAACGTACCAGTGACTGTTCAAGCCCAATAGGGTCTGGAAGTTTTATTCCCTATACCGACCGTTCGAGGGCTCTAGATAGATCCCGTCGCAGCTGCGATTCTGAATGATGTAGGGTGACATGGCGCACCACAAATATAAAAATTTATAAGTCAATTTCACTTCGCAACACAAAACTACAACATCATTAAGTTTATGAAAAGCGGAAGATCTTTTCAGAAGAAGTTTTGTACATAAGTCACAATCATATTAATCAATTCTTCACGGGGTTTCCCGTTGTTGTAGAAGAAGTCGGCCAGAGAAGAAGAGTATTGCCGCCAGAGCTCCAATGCAAATCGTTGCAAAGACCACCCTGAAATACAGGGATAATATGATAAACATTTGAGAAGAGTATTGGCTGCAATAAATTTATTTCAAAAACAACGCAGGTCTCACCTGACAACGCCATTTCTGGAAAAAAGTCTGACCGTCTGATATCACGCAGAGCAAAGGCAGGGACAAGCGCAGGTGGGTACTGCCCAGTGAGATTCAAGGAAAGGCTTATGTCAGGACGGGTGCTTAAGGCGTTCGTATGCTTTTCCGCTGAAGTTCGCCAACTGGACATACAGGGTGTCCCAAAATAACTTGCGTAATTGAATATAAACATAATTATACTAACATCATACACTACAACATGCAACAACCAGATTTCAAAATGTCCTCCACCTGCACGAATTCAGGCCCGGAGTCTCTTCTTGCACCATTCGCACGTTGCACGCAGGTGTTCCTTATCCAATTCTTCCCAGGCTTCCTTTGATGCTGCTTGCAATGGTTGCAGATTCATACGACGAGCTCGACATGCCTTGCTCTTAATCATGGACCAGACTGAGAGTTCCAGTGATTAAGATTAGGGGAGCAAGAAGGCCATTCCTCGCGGCGACGAAGTCGGGCAGTTCGCAGCTCGCATCTGCCTCGAACGAGCTTGGCCCCATAGGCTGTAGCACTGTCCTGCTAGCAACACCACGGCTTGTTCCCAAAGTGGGGTTGGATCAAGGTTTCAATACGTTCACTAATACGCGCGTCCTTGCTGATCTTCACACATGAATCGGCAAAATTCAACGGCATCTCATCATTGGCCGCGACTCACACCCAATTCATTACTGATGCCGAGTTAGCCGTTCTTCAACAATCTTCCCTCGTGAGATGACACTCCCGATACTTCTGACTAGAATGTGATCGCTTTGGCTATTCAACACCGGCTCCACAGCGAATATTTTCTCGTCAGAAAAAACGATCGAGAGTTGCGTGTCGCCAGTGAAGCGCGCTAGTAACCTTCCAACTTTTTGGCCTCTCTGCTGTTTGTTGCTGAACAGAATGAAGCGGCACTTCTGCATGTGATAGAGTTTGTAGTGCTGCTTCTCCTTAATGATGCGCCCCATCGATGACTTCGATAAATTCATCTCGCCATCCTTCTGATGGAGCACCGTGGATTGCTAAGCAAACATTTCGTTGATTCTATCCGTGAACACGCTGACCATTCTTCCTTGTACAGGCTTGTGAATGAGTGTTCTTATTCTCCTGCATCGTTTGTTGGCCACCTTTACTGTGTTCACGGGAACACCAAGAAATTTAACAATGTCCTAAGATGCAGTCTCTTGCTCGCGCACGCGAATGATCGCAGGTCACCTTGGATCACCTCTCGCCATCTCAGAGATACTGGCAGTTTTACCCCAATAACGATGCAGTTCACAAGAGAACCTACCTGCACAACTATTTAGTAGCGCCCGAAATGAAATGATATACCTTTTCCAATGAATTTTTGAAATCTTGGCGCAAGTAATTTAGGGACACCCTGTAGCTCTCACGGAAAGGTAAGGCGACATAGTACGAATGCCCCATTATCAATACAAGCCCTATGATCAGTACACGGCTTATGCTGGTGGTAGCGTGTGTGGCGCGGATCACGATTGCATTTCAATAAGAAGTGGCATAATTGTTTGAATTCTGAATATCGGAGTTCAGAAACGTAATTTAGGGAGTAGCATACAAAATATGCAGGGTGGAATTTAAGAAGGTTCAGAAAAAGGTTCTGACGAAAAACTGATTACTTTGATTTCTAACTGGGCAATTTCGCTGCTCACATACAACATTCAATCATTTGTATGTACATACATAGTCCTTTTTCGAGATTTCGCCTCGAGATCTTAGAGGAGCCACCCGTGGTGCAACGAAGAAGCCTTGAAATTAATCTCTGGTACATCGAAAAACAGCCTGTATCAGCAGGTGTTTCTGTAGCTTTTGATCCCTTGACTTCAGAGCCACATAAGTCGCACAGATTCGAATGGTTGTAACAAAGATATTCTTGTTTTGTCGTGAACTGAGCGGCTGCTGCAGAACTGGTCACACAACCTCTTGAATTTGGAAAATGAAAACTGTGTGTGTTATCCCAAATTCGGCCACTTCAGAAGACTCTTTCACCCTCCGAACCTCCGAGTGGTGTGTGTCGGATGCGCACCACCATCTTTTTCAATGTGAAAAGCGTTGAAAGCAGCGTGCCGAAACACCTTGTCTTTGCAAATCAATGAAACCTGCAAGTTTAAAAGACGACTTCTAAAAGACATTTCTAAGAAGCCACTCTATTGAAGTGTCTTGTGACGACACATAAGCAGAAAAGTGCTGCATTACCCAAGAAACATCACACACGGATGAGCACAATGAAAATTTCGAAATATTATCATTCGAAAAAATCCAAAAAATTCGCGACAGCGCTCATTTTCCGTGGCTTGTGCCCACCCTGCATGTCAAAGCGCTAGCGAAAGAGAAAAAAATTGTGATAGTTCGAAGGCAAGTATCTCATTCGACATTCTTCATTGGTGCTAATGTGCTAATTATTTAGCGCAGTATCGCCGCAGCAGCGCTTTTCAATTTGAAGACCGACGTAGCGCGAAGGAGGATGGGGGACGAGGTAAGCAAACCAGCCCTTTTGGCGTTTCTGCTGGGACCGTATGCTGAATGTTGGGGAGGGGATGGGGTCCCCGAGGTCGACGGACTACTTCAACTCGGTTGGTACGGTAGGAGAGTGATGACGAAGTGGTGCAGCTAGGTCCAGCAGCTCCGCCAAAAGGGCTGGTTTGCTTACCCCAGGACTAAGCCTTGGAGAGAGGGCGGACCCGCTCTCTCTCCTCTCTTTAAGGCTTAGTCCTGAGGTAAGCATCAAATTGAGGCGGTTTTAAGGACCGAGTTGAAGTAGTCCGTCGACCGTCGGGGACCCCATCCCCTCCCCAACATTCAGCATACGGCCCCAGCAGAAACGCCAAAAGGGCTGGTTTGCTTACTTCGATGGGGAAGGACTGTGAGGAGGGAATTCACATGAGCAAGGCTATTTGATGTCGCTCTCGTTCACCGCTGGAACACGTAATTGCCCTTCCCTGTGCCACTAAATAACGCCGTCATCCATCGTAACCTTCGATCTCTGTAGTGAAAACAGTAGCTCAATCGTTCGGGTTACATCCAGCTAATTTTGAAGGGGATGGAGGTTTTCATAAACAGGTTACCATTTGTATATCACGCTGATTTCGTGGATGGAGCATGCACGTTAGGTAATCGCCGTAACTCAAAGGTGGGACTAGGCTGATTCTGTGGGGTGAATGTTATGCACTGCTCACGTACGTGTTGCTGCATGCTTTGGCCCATCATTGTAAAGGGAAGGAGCTAACAGTGACTGCGTGGATGGAGCGAAGACTGGGGAAGGAGTGATCATAGTCTACTAGTTGGCCAGAAATACAGTACTACTGAAAGGCCTGAGAGAAGGTTATACGATGCGTGGGTAGCTCACAGGGACCACCTTTTTGGGAAGAGAGCATGCAGCAGCTGCGAGCGGGTGCTCACGATGTGGTGCCCTTATCCTATTAGGAGGTACAGTACAAATTCACGCCGATTAAGTACCGCAGGCACTTATGAGCATTATGCGGATTCCTCGAGGTGTAATGATGCTTATGCCAATTTCCTAACAGTTTTCCGTCGGAAAACTCGCTCCATGTTTATAGTCTTAGTTTTATTGATATTTGCGTATTTTGAGTTTGTCTTTAAATGAGCATATTGTATCATTTCGTCACCGGTTCACATCGCGATGCACTTGGACTATGAACAGGGAAAACCATACCCCACCTTAGGCAGGGAAGGACGACAGTGAAGCATGAGCTTAAGCGCTGATAACGTCGTAGGTAATGCTCATTTATTAAGTTCAGGAGAATCATAGCACTTTAAGATAGTTAACTATTAAATTACTCACACGGCCCACGTTTCGAAATGGAAGCAGCACTGATATGGATTGTCGTCACAGCAAGCGTAGTAGTGGAGGAAAGAGTCGCGTGGACAGCTGTAAAACAACGAATTATTTACAACACACTTATTCGTTTATCAGTTTGCTCTATACGTTTCCTACACTAGGCGAAAGGGGCGCAGTGACAAGTGGCGCGGTCCGGGGATCAAATCCTGGGTCGTGAGTCGCCCGGGCCAACCAAGCCTTCCATCCCTCCGGGGTCGGTTAATTGGTACCAGACTTGTCTGGGAGGATAAAAACACTGACTTGTACATCGGCTGGCCCCCGCAAGTCATTGTATAGGCCACATCGCATTCAAACGCCACTACGAATGTACAAATGGAAGTAGAATGCGTGCCGCATCCCAAAAGGGATTGATCAACGGCAAATGCTTTATCCTTCTCCTTTCCCTATAGACTTTCTGCAACTCAATCAAGATCTCCCAATGAATGAAATGCTTTCGACAAATAAGAATGAAAAAACAAAAATGTAGTCACCCAGAGAGCAAGCACGAGTCGTTTCATCATAAACTTGGGTAAGGTCAATGTCAGACTTCGCGAATCGAGCAAGTCGCAAGGTCTGACATCGGCCTAAGGTTGGTGGTAATAATAGCAATTAATTAGGCATAAATGCTCAGCCTGGGCGGCTCGCTGCGGTTCAACGGCAATATGTCACTTTTTAGTCGCGCCTTCAACTTTACACTATCAGAAATATCAATTTAGATATATGTAAGTGGAGCAGCGGCAAGCTAACGCGGGCTTGAAGCGTTGATCACACTCATGGTCACATTCTTCTTCGTTTACGGGCCAACCGGCTATAGATCTTGTAACCCTCAAGGTTCAATCCCCACTGCTAACTGTGTGAATCAAATACGCACCCAAAAATAATGCATGGGAGTCGGGCAGGTTCCCATGGGAATCGGTTTCATCCCATAAAAAACTGCAAGATTGCAAGATCGATTATGAATGAAAGAAATTTCCATAGGATCTCTGATTCCACTTTATTTTTAATAGTCTTTCCCAACAGTACAGTTTACTGAAATGAGAAAATGAAGTTTGATACAATTCAAATACATGGCGTATTCAAACAATAATGATGAAAGCAGCCATCTCATCACTTTTTTCTCTTCGGTAAACGGGTGTACATACACCCCTGTTGACAATGGTCTTGAAGTTAAATATAATAAAGCATTTGCCGTTGATCAATCCCTTTTTGGGATGCGGCACGCATTCTACTTCCATTTGTACATTCGCAGTGGCGTTTGAATGCGATGTGGCCTATACAATGACTTGCGGGGGCCAGCCGATGTACAAGTCAGTGTTTTTATCCTCCCAGACAAGTCTGGTACCAATTAACCGACCCCGGAGGGATGGAAGGCTTGGTTGGCCCGGGCGACTCACGACCCAGGATTTGATCCCGGACCGCTCGCGTGGTAAGCGCGCCACTTGTCACTACACCACTTCCGCCCTCCCTGTCTTGAAGTTATCAAGAGTTAATCACTCACGTTTCTCCCAGCCTGAAATCAAGTGCCGGCAACGGTCCGAAGGGCGCAAACGGACATGACCATACCGATGGTGTCGCTTTACGGCACCCGCGTCGCTGCTGCAGTGCAGCAAGAGATCATTCATGGACAGATATACCAGATCGATACTGGATCTATATTTTAGACAAGGATATGCTTCCGTTACCTTGCCACTTCGACCACAGTATTCCGACGAGATCAGTCAGAATTCCTATCCCTCTGAGGCTGGCCGTCCGTGGCGTACGAGATCCGTGCGCTCATGAGATCAACCCCCACTTAACTTCTGAAATGCGTAAGCTATCCATAATTTGCCCACAGAAACCCCTATTCCGATAGACGGTCGCGACCTGTACCCCTCCTGAGCCACTTTAAGATTTATACCAAGCTGCCGTTACTCACAAGAGGTGGACAAAAGGTTGGGTTTCTGCCGAAGGCGGCTCGGGGAATACTTAGACCAAAGGACTGCACACAGAGAAATCAACGCAAGATAAAACAGGCGGTCCGGTAGTGAAGTAATAACGCCGAGTGGTGAAGAAGGGTAGTGCATTTGTGCAACACTCACCAAATCTGAGCCTGTACGAGTCGTGACCGCTAATACTTCGCAAGAACTACGTCGACGACATGAAGGTGGAAACGGCAGGCAATCGATCGAAATCCCAAACACAGAGCGGTTAAAGCTCAGACACTGAGCAGAATCCACCAAATTGTACTGTGAGTTTTGGCTTCTTATATGAAGTGGATACGTCGGCTAACTATGTGTGGATCGATCGGATTGTTAAATAGAGGCAATAGGTATATGTGTGTGTGTGCGGACTGGCGGGATTCGATGGCGTAACAGCGGTGGTAACGGTGGCGATTATGGTGGCGATTACCCAGGCAGAACAAGTCCGCCGCTATCCCAGCATCACCGGTTTCCACTCCACAAAAACTACTGAATTGGAATCGAATTTGCCTGTTTTTCAAGCGGGATACTTTAACTTGTACTGGATTACTCCCAAGCTTCAAAGATTCCTCCTAAACAATTCATCAGCCGATTGTTTGTGATGGAAGTGGTGTAGTGGCAAGTGGCGCTGTTCACTAGGAGCACGGTCCGGGGATCAACTTCTCGCCGTCCGCGGTCTAGGTGTTAGATGGTTTCTTCGATGGACATCTGTAAACGTTGATCTTTGTGACCTCGCCATAGGTTAGTAGACAAAATAGAACGAATTCTGGGCTGAAATAATCGTATGAGTAGCCTCTCGAACGGTCCTTCGCCTTGTCCAGGCCTCTGAAGAAGGCTCCAGCACTGAAGCGTCACCCGAACAAATGTATCGTCATTCTTGGTTCCGAGCTGAATCTCTACCCTATGTAACTGGGAAAACCATTCGGGACTAAAATTCACAGAACATCATAACTGATTGAGAGAAAAAGAAATTAGAAAGAACGAACCATCCATCACCGAAGAGAGCAATGTA